GGAGGTGATGTGACTCTGACGGTGGGCAGCGGAGGCACCGGCGAGGGCGGTCTGGTCAGCGTGGCGGCCGGTGCGTCGACGGCGGCCACCGGAGGATCGGTGACCATCACCAGCGGGGTAGGTACCGACACCACCAGCGGTGCGATCACCATCCGATCGCCCAACGCCGGCACCGTGGGCGTGAGCGGCGCCATTGTGTTGAGCTCGGGTACCACCAGCTCCGGCACCAGCGGCTCGGTGCTCATCGGAAGTGGCACGGCGGTGTCGGGAGCTGGCGGAGCGGTGAGTCTGACGGTGGGCACCAGCGCCTACACCACGGGCGGGACGCTCACGTTGGCGGCCGGCACGGGTGTAACGGGCGGACCTGTGTCGATGTCGGCCGGAACGGGCACCGCGTCTACGGGCGGGTCGGTGAGTCTGGCGGCGGGCGCAGGGTCGACGGGTGGATCGTTCGCAGTAGTGGCCGGGCAAGGCACGCTGACAACGGGCGGGGCGATCACGGTCACGGCAGGACAGGGGCAAACGCTTGGAGGTGGTGTCAGCGTTTTGGCGGGGGAAGGTGTATCGACGGATGGCGGGTCTATCACCATTACCGCTGGCGTCGGTGAGGTTGATGGAGGAGCGGTCACGATGGCGGCCGGAACCGCAGAAAATGGCGACGGAGGAGATGTGAGCGTCTTCGCCGGCACCAGTACCAACGCCGACGGTGGGTCGCTCACGATGGTGGCCGGTGGCGGTAGCGTGGGTGGCGGCCTCGTGTCCGTGACGAGCGGAAACGGCGGTGCGGACGGCACAGGGGCCGTCACCATCTCGTCGGCCGATGCCACGAACTCAGGTAGCAACAGTGGTGTCATGACCTTCAGCTCCGGTACAACCACGTCCGGTAACACCGGCGCCGTCAACATCGGTAGCGGCGCCGCCGTGGGGGGCACCGGAGGTGATGTGACTCTGACGGTGGGCAGCGGAGGCACCGGCGAGGGCGGTCTGGTCAGCGTGGCGGCCGGTGCGTCGACGGCGGCCACCGGAGGATCGGTGACCATCACCAGCGGTGTGGGTACCGACACCACCAGCGGCGCGATCACCATCCGATCGCCCAACGCCGGCACCGTGGGCGTGAGCGGCGCCATTGTGTTGAGCTCGGGTACCACCAGCTCCGGCACCAGCGGCTCGGTGCTCATCGGAAGTGGCACGGCGGTGTCGGGAGCTGGCGGAGCGGTGAGTCTGACGGTGGGCACCAGCGCCTACACCACGGGCGGGACGCTCACCTTGGCGGCCGGCACGGGCGTGACGGGCGGTCCTGTGTCGATGTCGGCCGGAACGGGCACCACGTCTACGGGCGGGTCGGTGAGTCTGGCGGCGGGCGCAGGGTCGACGGGCGGATCGTTCACGGTAGTGGCCGGACAAGGCACCGGGACGACGGGCGGGGCGATCACGGTGACGGCCGGTGAAGGAGGGACGGATGGCGGCGCGTTGATCATGGCAGCAGGATACGGTGGTGACAGTGGTGGCCTCGTGGCTGTGTCTAGCGGGGCCGTGACGGACGGGAACAGCGGGACCGTCACCATCGTCTCCGCCAACGCCGGTACAACGGGCCACAGCGGTGTCATGACCTTCAGCTCCGGAACAACCACGTCGGGAGACACCGGCGCCGTCAACATCGGTAGCGGCGCCGCTCTGGGGGGCACCGGAGGTGATCTGACTCTGACGGTGGGCAGCGGAGACACCGGCGAGGGCGGTCTGGTGGAGATGGCGGCCGGCGAGTCGACCACGGCCACCGGAGGATCGGTGACCATCACCAGCGGCAAGGGCACGGCCACCACCAGCGGTGCGATCACCATCCGATCGCCCAACGCCGGCGTCGCGGGCGTGAGCGGCGCCATTGTGTTGAGCTCGGGTACCACCAGCTCGGGGACCAGCGGCTCGGTGCTCATTGGAAGTGGCACGGCGGTGTCGGGAGCTGGCGGAGCGGTAAGTCTCACGGTGGGCGCCAGCAGCTTTACCACGGGCGGGGCGCTTGCGCTTGCTGGTGGAGACGGTTCAACCGGCGGGGCATGCAGCGTTGTGAGTGGGACCGGAACGTCCAGCACCGGAGGAGCCATGCTAGTTGCCGGTGGGAATGGTGTAACGGGTGGCACCGTATCGATATCTGGTGGAGCAGGTACCACTAGTGGCGGTGGCGTGTCTATATCAACAGGGACTGGCCCTGCTGCCGGTGACCTTACGGTTGCTATTGGCGATGCTTCAGGTGGCGCGGGAGGGGGAATTGTACACACGGCCGGATTGAGTACAACCGCTACGGGTGGGTCACTTTCCCTTTCCGCTGGTGCTGGGGTTACGGGCGGGTCAGTTTCGATTGAAAGCGGAGGAGGTACAAATGGTGGGAGTGGCGGAGTCACCGTTTCGTCTGCCCCGGCCGGGACTACGGGCGACAGTGGTGTTACAACGATCACCTCCGGTACAACAACATCGGGCGATACTGGTGCCATCATGATCGGTAGCGGCGATGCGACAGGTGGAGCCGGTGGCCATTTGAGTCTGACCGTTGGTGTCGCCGCATCAGGAGTCGGGGGGGCAGTTAACCTCGTGGCCGGGACCTCCTCCAACGATAGGGGCGGTGACGTTCAGATAGCCAGCGGATCGGGTACTACGTCAAGCGGATCGATTACGATCCTCTCGCCAGACGCAGGCGCAAATGGAGAGAGTGGAGCTATGGTGTTTAGCTCGGGCACCACCACTCTCGGCAACAGCGGGTCGATCCTCATCGGTAGCGGTACAGCGATCCAAGGGAGGGGTGGGGCCGTCAGTCTGACCGTTGGATCTGGCACAATCGATCCCGGTGGATCGCTTTCAATCGCAGCGGGAGAATCGACCGCAGCCACAGGAGTCGGGGGGCTACTATCTATTAACGGAGGAGCAGGTGCTGGGACCACCGCCAGCGCCGGTGGTGCGGTGGTTATCACGGGTGGCACCGGTTCTAAAAGCACTGGTGGGCAAATCACACTCACCTCTGGAACGGGCACAGAAACTTCTAGCGGGGACGTCTCGATCCAAAGCGCTGCCGCGGGTACAGGAGGCATAAGTGGCGCTTTGACTTTCAGCTCAGGTGCGTCCACCGACGGAAACAGCGGCGCGATTAGCATCGGATCTGGGACCGCTGGGAAAGTTACAACTGGCGGACGGGGTGGGGCTCTCAGCCTGACGGTTGGATCCGGGACGAGTGGTGTCGGCGGAGCGGTGTCAATCACAGCAGGAGATACCTCCGATGCCAGTCTCGTTGGAGGGGCAATCAGCATCAAGACTGGCGGAAACGCCGGCGCGAACCCGGGCACGCTCACGCTTGAAAGTGGGGACGGCACTACGACTGCCACCCTAGCGTCAGAGTTCGACCTCAGCAGCAGCGGGGGCATTGACCTGGTGACAACGGGCACGGCGGCGATAACGCTCACTTCTGCTAGCAGCATATCTCTTACTTCCACTTCGTTTGTGTCGTTGGCTGCTTCTACTTTGCAAGGTTGGGACATGGCGACTGCTACAATAGACGAACCCGTTGGTACTCAGACCGCCATCATCAACAGTATAGTGGGAAGTTATACCCGAAAGTGGACCGCGAATCCCGGATACCCCTCGACCGACATCGTTCAAGTGAGCAATTCCAAAATCGAGGTCGGTGATGTTGTTATGGCGATGATCACCAAGGCCTGTGGCACAGCTGAACAAATGTCGGTGCTGTCGACGGCAATTATTGCAGGGCGAGTTGACGTAGAGGTATGGGTGGCCGATGAATGTGATATTACCAGCGAGTATGGTGTTGCGTTTGTGTTACTCAAAGCATGATTGGCCCGCCTAGTCGTTGCCATCACCGCCGCCGCCCGGCGTGAACCAAAAATGAATACACATGTGTGTAGTGTAGTCTACACACACAGCATGGCACCGCAGGGACTTCATGAACGGCCGTTGCTTACTATTTATCTCGAGGGATGGGTGAATGATGAAATTTTGTTACGGCGGCGGGGGCGGTGGTCCTAAGGGCACGTTCGTACGCATTTCTACGCCGTTCATAACGTATGTGTGTGTGCTGGCCTGGAACCGGGTGCGTGTGTGTGGGGGAGCATGTATGTATGTTTAGAAGTAGACGATGATGGTATTGTATATGGCGTGTGTGAGGATGTATACAATGTACGCGAAGGGATGGAATCGTCTGCCCGTGTGTGTAGATACTCCGCCTGTAATAACCTGGTATGTTTGTTTGCGATTACATGTACTGTGGGCTACATCGAAATGCGTAGTGGCCCCGAAGCATCAAGTCCTTGCTATCCAGGCGGCGGAAAACAACGCAAAAAATGCAGTACAGTCTCCTGTTGTAGTACGCGTGGGACCAGATGTTGATGTGTGTCATGGAATGTAGATCTATGCATCATGTACAATGTGAGGAGTGAGTGTTGTGTATGAGTCGTCCCATGTAGACTATTTTGGTACGACAGACTACATACAGCTGCGTTGTGTAGCGACCGCGGGAACAGGTTTGAGCAACGATCAGGCGCCAGCCAGCCTGAGGCAACAAAATACTCTGGTCTATCAACAAGTACGCGGAGGTGGGTAGGGAGAGAGAGGGGAAGCGACGAGCCGTTAGTTATCGTTGTGTTTCATTATAATCTTGGTCGTCGCCAGCTTTTGTTTTTTTCCTGGTTCTCCATCCGATCTGCTGCGGCCGAGACATGTGCTTGCTTGTGTAACATACCCTGCCTGGGTTTTGAGTTCATCTTGCTGGGGTTGGGTTTCGTTTTTACTGGTTGGGTGCATGGGCGATGTTATCTGCCTGACCGGTGATGAACCCGATAGATGACGAGAGTAAGTCTGGTTTACTCAGCGAGGGACTTCTACTTGACCACTTGAGCGGCGAGCGGGCAAGCTGCGACAGCATACTAGGTGTGTGGTGGTTTTTGTTTGCATCGCCAGACTGGGGGGAAACAGTTTCACATCTTGTTGCTCTGACGGCGCATAAAACTCATGAGACCTTGAATCGACCTTTGTAATCGTCTCGGAGCTGTAGTTTCGATGCGTCCTCAAATCTTCAAGTCTATAAGGAATCTTATTCTGAGTACCCGAGACGGGCGGATCGAACGTTCCACGCACAAGAAACAAACCGACGCATTCGTGTGCAGGGACGTTGCAGGTTCCTCGCCTCTCCGGTACCGCGCAAGGCCCAGCAAAACCACGCTTAGCGCGCTTCAACTTTGCACCCACTCTGCTCAAGTGAAGATGTATAGACTACAGATCGAGCACGAGAACCACGCTTGCTTCTAATTACACGACAAAAATCTATAATATCTGGAGCGACTGAAAGCACACTCCCTCAGACGGCGTGATATTCACCCCCAAGTCCCTTTTTCATCTTGAACGCAGTTTGTTGCTTTGGTGTTGTTGTTGACACGTACTGTAAAGCGACAAACGACAATAAAACGTCGGCCGAATTCTGCGGTCCACAACAGGGAGGGACATGGAAACGTAGTGAGCTGCGGCAGGACAATGTAGGCAGAAACGCAAAAGCCCACATCGAGCACATTCAGAAAAAGCTACACAAGCAGGACTTGCGTGATGATCTGACGTTTCTACAACAAAACACGCACCAAAATCGTCCACAAGTCCACGTTGTGCCACGGCTCTTTTTTTAAGTCGAACCCGCTTGATCAATACCCCGACAACCGTTCCAGCTTCGTAATGATGCCTCCAATTCTGAGGTTTGTTATCAAAGAATGTGGTTGTTTGCCTCGCCCAACTTCATTCCTTCGCTATTAACTTGCACTCCGTTTACGGAAGACTCGAAACATGCCACACTACTGCTGCACACGCTCTGCGGGTGTTCCTACACGTTTACCTACACCACTCCCTGTTGTGCACACTGAAGCACGAGGCTTCGAACCCATAAACCAAACAACACAGGTGAAACATCATCGGCCACGGAACGGCTTACCCGAGGGTCATTCCTTCGAGGCAACAACGCATCACCAGACGGCCAAGAATCTAGCGTTCATTTGCCGTCATGACACCAAACCGACCGAACGCTCCGCGCAAGCCGAACACGAACATATCCCAAAAGGCACAGATGGTTGCGAGTTGCAACATACTTTGGATACTTTGGAACTCTCCGCCCCTCCCATATCCTCCCTTCCTTCCACACCCGCAAAAAAAAAACGAATCTCACCGTCCCTCTCTCTCCCGACAGAGTTAGTTTCCGGGGACACGAAATCTCAACAACAATGAAACCATAAGTCGGTGTCCGGCCTAGCCCACCCCGCTGGCCTACTTAGATGTGGCCATCCCCCCGCCACCGCCACCTCCATCTGCTCCCCCGTCCCTCGCGAGCCTCTCTTCCTGCTCGACCCTGGCGGTCTCCTTGAGCTGCTCGAGAGCGCCCGTTTTCTTGCAGAGGGCGTAGAAAAGGCTGTTGGGGTCGTCCAGTAGTTCCAGGGGGGAGGCGTACTCCATCAACTCGCCCCGCTCTAGTACCATCACCCTGCAGGGCAGGCAAGCAGGAAAAACACATCGTCATAAATGCCGTATGCCCAGGTGTTCGTCAACGGAAAATTGAGCAAGTAGCGGTAGGACTAACGGAATAAACGAAATGGAAGCGTGGGCGGGCGGGCGGGCGGGCTGGCGGGCTGGCGGGCGGGGGGGGGCGCAAGGCGGAGGGCCGCGCTGCGGCAGTGCCGGAGACAAATATCGCGCATACAAGCGGTGGAATACTGATTGGATGCCTTCTGGCCTGTCCCGCTCGACGCCTTGCCGGTCACGAACGAAAAGCACATGGTCAAAAAGACTGATGCCACCGTGATACCACGTATCCCCTGGTCCCTCTTCTTCATCGATCACCAGGTCGGCCGCCGGGAACAGCTTCGTCCGATTCGATGGCTTGCTGACGGAACAAAGATGCTATACGGCAGCAGCAATTTCGAAACGGTTCCCGGCGACCAGCACCGCACCTGTCGTAGTAGATGATCGTGTGCAACCGGTGCGCTATGCACAAGACCGTGCAGTTGCGGAACTCTTCTCGCATCGTGGACTGGAGGGGGGCAAAGCAAACCGATTTTTTTTCGAGCGACGAGAACATGATGGGGCACGGAGCAGCGTCAAAAGTCGACCGACCCTCTTGCGGATAAAGCGCACGGTAGATGTGAGCATCAAATATAGCGAGTACATGTCCAGTGCATGAACATCGAAAATAGCGAGTATATTTCCAGAGCCGAGGAAGCCAAACCTCGACCGCTAGAGTGCGGGCGTGACACTCGTGCCATGTCATGCCATGCCACAACAATTGGCACGCGGGAGCGAGTCTGGACCGTGACGCACACAAAACTCCGTAGGCTTGACAATTGCACACGAAACGCAAGGCACATGTCAAGACCGCCATCCTTAAAAGCGCGCGTTACAACACCAGTTGCCACAAGGAAAAAAAAAGAAAAAAACACACACACACAAACGATATACACGTGTTTCGCGTTTTCAACGGCACCGAGACCGACGTCTTTTCATTGGTCAGCCGGTTAGCGCGGTCGATGCTAATAATAAAGACACACGCGCGCGCGCGCGCGCGCCCGAAAAAACAAGCGCTTTTCACCTGGATGAGGAGATCGGTTTCGGGGTCCACCTGATTCGATTGCCACCGGCGAGGCGGGGTCACGTAAAAACGTGAACCAGGGTGGGAATCCGGAACACAAGGCACGTACAGAAATAACACGGCGGGACGGCGGCGATGGAATCGGTGAGAGATCCATCCAAACGAGACGATCACCAATTTAGAAGGTTTGCGGGTTTGGCAGCTACTACATGACAATCCGCAGCCGGATGCCCTGGAGACCTACCTGGGTGGCGCACCGGTTACACGATCAGACCTATTCTGTCATCTAACCATGAGCCAAGTCACCACTACCCTCTTCGCCGTGCACGATCGCGCGTCTCCACAAGACATAAAAAAAGAACGACACTACGCTGCCCAACAACAGGCACAACCCACGAAAATATATCGCGTTGATGTTTCGGCACCGTACAGAGATGAGCGAGGCACACCGGGGGCGGCGATAATGGCGCGAAATCGTCGACGTCAAGGCCCCAGCAAAAGCATCCACCCGGCAACACCGCACCACCAGGCAATGCTCGGGCGACAAAAGGCAGTCGAAAGCACCGCGTGGTCTGCTTACATTGGCGGTGGCCTCGTCCATCACGAGCACGGATGACTTTCGAAGCAGCGCCCGCGCCATGCACATCAGCTGGCGCTCTCCCACGCTAAAGTTTCCCCCGCTCTCGTCCACGGGGGCGTCCAGCCCGCCCGCGCTTCGGATGGAGTTGTCCATGTGGGCGTGCCGCAGGGCCTCCCACTGTCGCACGGGCGGAGGGCGACAACGTGTGGAGGGCGTGTTCACACGCGGCAGTTACCAGCGAAGAAACACATAGCAGGTATGTCTCTCGCCTCACACACGCGGGAACAACAAACTGCAACAGGCAGAATCGCTCGATGCGATTATCGCAAGCCTCCCTCCAACCTGTGGTGGCAGCGTCGCGGTTGCGCTTCGCTGCATGCTACCCCGTGTTCGATCCCGGGCATCCCTGGTTGAGAAAATTCGCCGAGAGAGCTAACACTATAATACTATCACCATCCCAAGACGACGGCTCGAAGCACGGCAGTGCACACGTCTGGTGGGCTGGTCCCGAAGGGTCCAAATACTTACCTCCCTCTCCCCTTGACCAAACCGCAGACAATCGGAGGTCAAGGAGTACAACA